GAAAGAACAGTGAAGATATAATCAAGTTCATAGTTCAAGATTATTTTAATTCAGAACCTCTCTACCTGTAAATACCAAACTGCAATCACAAATAGAGATTGAAATTGTATAGAAAAAAAAGTATATGTCTCTTCTTGTAGACTGATTAACCAGAAGAAAAACTTGGAAAACAGACCAATCAAACACTTACAGGGGATTTGAAAAGTCAAACACAATAATCCCATGCTTTACTTTTAGAGTTAGAAATAATAAATTCTTAACTTTTGTTGCATTGTATTATTTCAAAGAATCCTACATCCTAGGCCTTCCTGTATTAATTTTTTTTAAACCTAAAACCATATTTTTGTCTACACAATGGCATCAAATATAGACAACAATTAAGTTCTTACACTTAAGACTGGTGGAAAGTACATATTGTTAGAGAGACAAAAAAAGCAGTATGCTGGTGTATCTAACACCATTTTTGAAAAGCCTAGATGATAGATCTCTTAGAATAGTAACTTAAAAGGATTTCATTAAAAGCATACATACAAAATTATGATGTGTAATTAAAATGGCAAGTTACGCCTAATTTGTGGTATCTTCCTATTTCAGTCACAGCAGAGAGACAAAATATATAGCACACACATAAACACATGAAGATGCCACACAAGGAAGAACAGAAATATGCATGCACACATGCACATACACATATACACAGTGGAATGGAACACATTTCAGAAGGAAATACACCTCTTTTATGACCACTGCAGGCAAAGAGCTCAGAAGTCATTGTCTGTATACTTTCTCTAGCTTGTTTTTTTAGTCTCCTCTGCCTTGTCCTTTCCCTATTCCCCAAAGATTGCCCAGCAGGCTAAGTCAAATTACATCTGCCAGATTTCTGAATTAATGGCTTATAGGAGACTTTTGAAATTAGCTCTCATACAACCCTAACAATACAGGTTGCCAATCTTGATTTATTGTTGTCCTATAATTCATCAATTATATTCTTAATGCTAGTCTTTGGTATAAATTCTTCCCTTTGGGTAATATTCAGTTCGGTAAAATATCCAATAATATTTTAATATGAATTAAAAGGAAATATCTTCAAAAAGATAATTCTACATCTATGCGTATTTTGAAATGCCAATCAAAACAGTGAAGGTTTATCCACGTAAGGACAGTCATCAATGTTATACATAATTTCTGTAATATTCCTACAAAACTTAAAAACCTATGACATGTATAAAACACAATTGAAATACAAAATCATTCTCAGGTGAGTATCAAGTCTAGACTAAAAGACAAATAGATGGAATTCAAGAACTGGAAGGTCTAATTACCTATGCCATATCCCAGTATTCCACAGAAGAACAATTTCAGACTATCTGGAAAGATTTTAATTGAAGATACTGAAACAAAATCTCACTTATTTTTAATTTTGCCCAGCACCAGCTATCTGACCATTGTTAAAAATATTGTAGGCATCTGGTAAATAAAATGATGAAAATGAGGCCTTGCTTGGTTAGCTGAGAAGAGGTTGATTTTGTGCAAGTCATCCAGATCCCTAGGACTGTTAACGCAGCAATGTACTTATTAGATCCTTTCCTGGATAATGAAGGCTGCTTGGGAATATGTGGTTGGATCCATCATTGGTCCGTATCGCATTCCTTAAAAAAGAAAGTGATTTCAATGAGAAAAAAAATATTCAGTCTCCAATTTCCACTTTTATTAACCCTGTAGGTGTCCAAGTTGTTCTGGACTGAGGAAAATATATATATATATATATAAAAAGAATGAATAAATAAATAAATAAATTATTGAGAAATTTTAGAGGTTGTCTCATAAAAATGTATACTGTTAGTTCTTTCAGATTTTGAATATCTCCCTTTTATGATCCTGTAATTCTTTAATTAGGGGTAGAGTCGAGGCAACAATTATTATTTAATATTTTGAATATAAATACAAAACTGTTGCATTCTAATCTAAGGTGACACAGTGCTTTGTATTAAAATTCATTGCAATTAAAATTTATTTTCTACCACTAATATATCAAAATAATACTGTTGATACCTTATGCAGATCCATCTTCCTACACACACCTGTTCTTTTTGAGTACATGTCAGCTGAAGAATTTCTAATTCAAGTAATCTAATCAACCAAGTCTTTTGTCCATTTCAAAAATCTGGATTAGCTTCAAAGGAACTGGATCACCACATACTGTACCTTACTTTTTGAGAACCTCACCAGTTTCTGACCTTTTAACTTAGCATGCTTTTAAAAAAAATTGAGCTGTTTTATGATCTCCTTAGTTTGCATATAAAACTTCCAGAAAAAAAGTAATACAATATAAGATTTTTTTTAAAGCTTCAGTTGTGTTCATTGCATTCCCGCTGACACTAATTTTTCTTCCACTCTTGACTTATAGTGGTGGGTGTTATCGCAATCATGTTTGAAAATTCTGTCTGCTCTATGTGGAATACCACCCACAGTTACTGTAAGTACGGTCTAGAAATAATATCTTACCCGGTACAGAAAATTGCCTGTAGGGTGGACCATAGCATCTTTCCCTTGGTTTTTCTAGGGAGTGGTGACAAGCAGAGCATCCAGAAGTTAATGAAAGGAGAAGGAGAGTAGTGTATCAGTAGCTGTTAACAAGTATGATTTGGCTGCTTCAGCTCAGCATGCTAGAAAGCCAGGATTCCTAAAGCCAGGATTATCTTGTACTTAGAGGCCAGCCCAGTTCAGAGTGTCATCCATTTGGATACTGCTCTTCCCAATATGGATTATTCATTGAGGTTCCCAGATCACCCCTTCACCAATGGAGAAGATTTTTAAAAAGGCTTCCCAATATAATAGTCTTAAAATGATTGCCTTCAAAAGGTCTTCCTCCATTTGCATCCAGTGTGATGATATTTATAATTCTTTCAACAGGACGTCTATATATTTGTTTCATTTTTGTACAGTGGTTTTATTCCTATAAGTAGCATTAACATTAAGCATGAAAAAATGTCATATCTGTAAGCGGAGGAGGGAGTAAGAGCAGGAGGATTTTTCATGTACATCTCCCTGTAATAACAGTCTTAATAGTGAAGGTCTTCTTCCAAGACTTTTCCTCTTGTCTAAGCTTCAAAATGCAAAATTAAGATTACAGAGGTGAGTATCTCTTACTTGTAAAGAAGGGCAGTTCTGAACAAATTGAGTGTTTTATTATGCAGATTGATATGACAATTGGAGAATTGTTTCTTTGGAAGTGAAACTTTAAGTTTATTTATTACATTGAAGCATATACTGTATTAGGAAAAACTGCATGTAAAAATAATGCAGAAAGTTGATAGAATGGACAAGTATCAATATAAGAAAGTGACTTGGAATAGACTGTCTCTTCGTTGTTATTCAGATGATGGATGAAATCATCTTACTCTTTACAGTAATAGCTCTTGGATAGCTCATTGACCATGGCTGCTGAAAAGAGACAGTGCAGTGTTTCTTGCCAATTTAAAGTGGATATGTTTAAAAAATATACTCAATATTAGTTAGTACTACTAATAGTTGATAAGAATTAGATATTTGGAGGTGGAAAATACTTGAAAAGTAATATTAAAAATCTATTTCAGGGAGGGAGGGTCCATTATCTGACCCGATTTCCTTTGGAGTCTCTCACTTCAAGTGCAATTCTTAGCCAGCAAAAGGTTGCCAATCTCCAGTTTGCAAGATTCATTTCATGTGCTGCTAAATTAATTCTAAACTTTTTATTGGGTTACACAAAATTTACTATGGTCAAAAGGCTTACAAAGTTATGTAAGAGAATTCCAGAACGTGTGAAAATGTATTCCGTTTAACAAATGAATTTGAATTTAACATCTGTAACTCAAAATCTGTAATGCAAGTGCATACATGAGAAAAATCAGCCTACTTGGCAGCTGCTACTCCTAATTTTAAGCTATTTCAAAATGTGACTGGAAAGGACAGCATCTATTTAGGAATGATCAGATATTGTCATTGATAGAACTCCTGGATTTGTTTTGACATGCATGTTTATACACCTGCAATTGCCAAATTTTTTAACCCACCATACATGGAAGAGCATGTCTCCAGAGGAAATCAAGTAGAACTATATTGCTGAAGGGGGAAGACAAACAGCATGAAGGCTGAGAGGGAAGGTGAACAACTGAAACACTAGAAAAGTATGAGCCATAGTAGCAAGAAATATTGTTATCCACCTTATCCTTGTTTCAGTTTTTATTGTGATCAGATATAGTGAACAACTAGTTTGACCTGTACTCTTGTGCTTTCATTTTAAGATAAGTCCAGGTTATATCAGGCCAAAGCATAATTTATCTGATTTGTACAACTGCTGGAGGGCAAACCGGTAGAGCACCTGCATAACAACTTTCTTTCTTAAGAGGCCTATTGTCTAATCTGTCAGCCATCTCAACAGATCACCTTCTTTTTGACATAACTGGGAAACTAGTTCTGTAAATGAGTGTACTGATACTGGAGGAACCATGCCTCGATGCTCATGTGGTCCTGTTTAAAACGCTGACCTGAATCATTTGGATTCCAATTCTGTACAGGTTGTGCCCCTGCAAGTCTTCAGTCACTGAATGAGGAATAAAGATGTTTCAAAAATGTCATTAAAACAACCACCTATAAAATAATAGACTTTTTTCTAAGCACTTCAAAAACTGTTCATATTTAAGAGAGAACCACATTTCTTGTTAAACTTTCAAGCTTAAAAAAAATAAGGGTGTAGGTGTTTATCGTGCCTAGAGATTCTCACATTATTTTTGTACTTAAAGAATTAATGCAGTGGTTTAATGCACTGAATATAACTAGTCAACATTTAATCATGATATTGCTTATTACAGCCTTACTCCTGAAACTCTTAAACTGCCATGAATTAAAATGGAAAGTCATATTCTAAGAAGAATAGTGCAAAGTGCTGTTGGATTAATATTGTAGCATTTTTCAAGTCCTGTGATACCATAAATCTCAAAATTCCAGTATAAGGATTGACCAAGAAAATGGCCTTGACAAGGAAGATAACAGCCAACTAGGGAATTAAAGAAGGTAAGTGAAAAGTAAAACATTGTAATAATTCCTATCCGTGCTTATTCAGCAGTGAATAAACTTATTATCCATTACAAGAGTATCCAACGGAAAGATCAAATTCTGCAAGACTGAATAGAGTAGAAGCTGCAACCTCCATCCACATACAAAAGGAGCAGGTTCTTGGATCACAATGCCGCATCCACCATCTTGCAGATTTTCACACATACACATACACATCTTCTGTGGATACCTAGGACCCATATGCATTATTTTCAGGTAAGTATGCATATAATTATGAATTTTATATATACATATATAGAGCACAGAGCAACCACAAAATAACAATAATTAAAACAATTATGTTTCTTTTCTTTTTGTTGTTCAAATGACATGAGAGAGTCATCCTAGAAAGCATCTTGCTTCTAAACCAGGGATGAGCTGCTGGGGTTCGCAGGGGTTCAGGAGAGCCCCTAGCTAAGATTCTGTGCAGTTCAGAGAACCCCCAAATCCCACTCCTGGCTGGCCCCACCCACCCCTCCCAGGAGTCCCCACATGGCCCGTTTTGGATGCAGGTAAGTGCAAGACATGTGTGGAGGCTTGGGGATGGTGAAAAACGGGCCTCCTGGAAGTTAGGGAAGGCCGGAAATGCTTCCAGGGAGCCTCCAGAGCCCAAAGAGGCCCTTTTCACCCTCCCAGAGGCTCAAGGAAAACCTCCGGAGCCCGGGGAAGGCAAAAATGCCTCCCGTGGTACATGAGGCCGACTAGGCCACGCCCACCATGACCATGCCTACCCAGCAACCAGGCAGAGAGCCCTTTGCTAAAAATTTTGAAGCCCACCCCTGTTCTGATCTCTATCTTTTAGTGTAAGTGAGAAAATTATTAAAACTTTGGAAATAACCACACTCAAATTGAAAACTGAGTAATTGTTCATGACATTAGCATTTCATTAACTCAAATCTAGTTTTTGTTCTTGCCCAAATGACTGTATTTTTTATCCTAGTCCAGCCTGAGTATATCACTCAAAGGCAAATGTAGCCTGAATGCCTCTGAATTGGTCCTGTTTGTCTTTCACCATACCACCATGGGGCTCATCCACAATCTGTCACCCATTGAGTTCTTTTAATAGCCTCTGTTCATTTAATAAAACAGAACAAAGGGAAGACAAAAAAAAAATCACAGAAGAAGGGAAGGAAAAAAAGCAACTGAGAAAAAGAGAGGGGGGGGACACAAAAGTTCAAAAACTAGATTTCATTTAATATATATGTTATTTTACACAACAGTCTCAATAAAGATTAGTTATATTTCATCAAAATTATATTTCCGTAATCTATGTCTATAAGCAACTCAATTGTAAATTGCAAATAGCAATGGGTCTTCACTCCACTGAGTAACTGAACCCATAAATTTATTTTTCCACCGTTGAAGGACTAGTCTCTTAGCAGTAAGAGTCATGGAGAATCCATTTCCTGAAACGTCTGTTACACATAAGAGGGAAAATTAGATTCCCTTCATCCCAGTCCTGGTTAATTTCAGACATAACATGTCTATAAGAACTACCATCCAGGAACTCTTCTTTCCAGCTTCCTGATTAGCAAACTGGAAGAGAGTTTCCCTGTCTAAAATATGGGAACAGAATAATCAATCTGTGTAGCACATAGTATTCTTTTCAAGACCTAGACATTGTTTTCAAGACCTAAACCATTGTACATCCAAAAATATTTTAAATACTAAAATGACTGACATTTCACAAGATTGCATGAGATTTTGGCTACACAAACCTTCAAACCTTGCAGAAACGTTTTTGCATGAAATCTTACATTCAATGTTCTCTTAAGATTTTTACTAATTCTCTTTTTTTTTAATCCAACTAATTTTATGATTTTTGCAAGAATTGGCTATGGGTGTTACAAGCACTCTGGTCTGGTGCCAGAATGCACCACACCAGAGGCCCTTCACATGGCTTTGATAAACTAAATGGATCAATGGTCTACACTTGGTATATGCTGCTTCACTCCATATAACTATAAATGTATTTGATTAAATGTAGACCCATGTGGTTGGAGTTTTT